TTCTCTTTGTTAAACTAAACAGATTGAGTCTATCACTATCAGGCATATTTTCTAATCCTTTAATCATTCTTATGGCTTATCTCTGAACCCTCTCCAATTTATCAACATCCTTCTTGAACTGTGGGAACCAGAAATGGACACAGTATTTCAGCAGCAGTCTGACCATTGCCAAATATACAGGTAAAATATCATCTCTATTCCTCCTCAAGATTCCCATTTATGCATCCCAGGATCGCATTAGCTCTTTTGGCCATAGTGTCACACTGGGAGCTCATGTTCAGCTGATTACCCCAAATCTTTTTTCAGTCACTACACCCCACGATAGAATCCCACATTCTGTAAGTATGGCCTACATTCTTTGTTCTTAGATGTATACGCTTACATTTAGCCAGGTTAAAATGCATATTGTTTGCTTGCACCCAGTTTACCAAGCCATCCAGATCACTCTGAATCAGTGACCTGTCCTCTTCATTGTTTACCGCTCTCCCAATTTTTGTGTCATCTGCAAATTTTATAAGTGATGACCTTATGTTTTCTTCTAGGTCACTGATAAAAATATTAAATAGCATTGGGCTGAGAACCAATCCCTGCTGGACCCCACTGGAAACAGACCTGCTCAATGATGATTTCCTGTTTACAATTATATGTTGAGACCTATCAGTTAGCCAATTTTTAATCCATTTAATGTGTGCCATGTTAATTTTATATCGTTTTGTTTTTTAGTCAAAATATTATGTGGTACTAACTCAAACACCTTACAGAAATTTAAGTACATTACGTCAACACTATTACCTTTATCAACCAAACCTGTAATCTTCATCAAAAACAGATATCAAATTAGTTTGACAGGATCTATTTTCCATAAACCCCTGATATGCATTAATTTCCTTTAGTTCTTTATTAAGTGCCGTATCAGCTGCTCCATTATCTTTCCTGGAATTTGGTCCTTACCTGTTACTTAGAAAACGTAAAAAATTGCATATTGGATCAGACCTGTGGTCCATCTAGTCCCATATCCTGTCTTGATCCAAGACCAGCACCAGAAGTTCACAGAAAGGTGTAAGCAACTTTGCATGAAGCAGATGTGGGGTAATCTATGCCCAACATTAGACCTCTGCCAAATCTCTTATGTATTGTTAGAGAGTGGCTTAAACCCTGAAACATGATGTTTTAATATCTCTTCCAGAATTTGTCAGCAGTAACTATAACAACTCTTGTTATCCATGTAAACGTCCAATCTCCTTTTGAATTGTGTTACATTCTTAGTCTCAATAACATCCTGTGGCAGCAGGTTCCATTGTCTAATGGTTTATTGTGTGAATAAGTATTTTCTTTTATCAATTTTGAATTTTCCACCTTTCTATTTCATTGAATTCAATGAATGAATTTATGTCATTATGAAAACAGAACAATCTACCTTATCTATACAATTATTTTAGTATACTTTTAACACGTCCCCTCTTTATCTCCTTTCTAAATAAACAATCCCACTCTTTTCAATCACTGTTCACATGAGAATTTTCCCAGACCCAAATAATTTTCATTGCCCTTCTCTGAATTCCCTTTAATTCTACAATCTCTCTTTAGAGATGGGGTGACCAGTACTGTATACAGTTATCTAGATGAGGCCACACCTTTCATTTATGTATAACATCATTACAATATGTTCTGTATTATTCTACATGCATCCTAACATCTTCTTTGCTTTTCTGACCACAGCTGCATATCGGGTCAGATTTGTAAAGGTATTTATGCATGTAAAGATGTTAATAAGCGCTTAGTGGGATTTTCAAATGTGCCATAGGTGCCCAAACATCTTTAAAAATCTGGCTCAATGTGCAGCTGAAGTCTTCACTGACTTGTCTACAATGATGCTCAGATTCCTATCCTGAGCTGACAGTTAATTTATATTTTAAAACGGTATATAAGTTTTTTAAATATTTCCCTCCAAATGCACTACTTTGCCATTTATCAACATTGAACTTCATTTATCACAGTGTTGCTCACTCACCTAGCTTGGTTAGGTCCCTCTGAAGTTCCTCACTAAACTAAATAACTTTGTGTCACCTGCCAAACTGGCCATCTCTCTCTTCACATACACACCCCTCAAGGTTATTAACAACATGGGACCTTGTACAGAACCTTGAGGCATCCTGCTGTTAGACTTTTGTCATGATGATAACTGACCATTTAATGCTATCTTTGTTTCCTATTAGCTAGTTTACCCATCACCTCATGACTACTTAGTTTCTTTCATAGCCTCCTATGAGACACCTTGTGAAAGACCTTTTGAAAGTCTACATGAATCACAATTCCTTTATCCACTACTTTACTGACATGTTCAAAGGATTCTGAGAGATTAGTGAGACATGATTTCCCTTTGCAGAAACCATGCTGATTAGACTATCAGATCTATCGTCTTCCAGATGTTTCATTATTCTATTTTAATCATTTCAGTTATTTTAATTCTATGAAAAACAAATTAACTCAGCTTCCAGACTTCTGAACAGTGCACAATGCAGAGAAATAGCACAGACCGTCCTAAAATCAAACGGTTATCTAGGAACTTCAAAAATATAGCAACATGCACTTAGAAAGAAATCCTGTCCCATCCCTCCCTCACCCAAATGCCTCCAGGCACAAGGAATTTGGTGTACACTCTCCCCTCGGTACAACTGCACAAGTGCAGGAAGAATAAAAGCAGGAGGACACAAAAATAATCACATCAGGCTTCGGGTCAGATTGTGAGTGGCCCTTGTGCTGATGCCCAGTGGCGAGGACACTAGGATACCTCCCTCCTCCGTGCACCTCATACAAGGGATAAGGAGATTTGCAGTCCCTGTAGAAGCATAGGGATGGCTCTCTCTGTGCATCCCTAGAAGTGCAAATTATTTCACAGGTGTGAGGACCATATACACCAGGAGTTCATCAGGTAGTTCAGGGGGAGATTGTATTTCTTGGAGGTACAATCCCTCCCTAAAATGCCTCTGAGCAATGTGGCTCTGCACCATCTGCTACTCACGACTATGTCTAATAAGCAAAATCTAGTCAGAGCAGAATTCACCCCTTTACAATGCAGCACAATGCATTACTTAAGTCCTACGTAAGCCCAATTTTGAGGGCTTACTTGGGACTTAAATGATGAATGTGTCTTTGCTGACCTTCTGCACATGGAAGAATTTCACCCATATGGACTAAGATAGGTTTTTAAATTTCTTTACAATGGAGATAATAAGAGTCAAATCCTGTAACAAATAAGTTGAGCTATATAACTGCCCACACCCTACTATTTGTGTATCTGTATCTATGCATTCCCAATATTAGCATATAGAATCATAGAATCATAGAATATAAGGGTTGGAAGGGACCCCAGAAGGTCATCTAGTCCAACCCCCTGCTCGAAGCAGGACCAATTCCCAGTTAAATCATCCCAGCCAGGGCTTTGTCAAGCCTGACCTTAAAAACCTCTAAGGAAGGAGATTCTACCACCTCCCTAGGTAACGCATTCCAGTGTTTCACCACCCTCTTAGTGAAAAAGTTTTTCCTAATATCCAATCTAAACCTCCCCCACTGCAGCTTGAGACCATTACTCCTCGTTCTGTCATCTGCTACCATTGAGAACAGTCTAGAGCCATCCTCTTTGGAACCCCCTTTCAGGTAGTTGAAAGCAGCTATCAAATCCCCCCTCATTCTTCTCTTCTGCAGGCTAAACAATCCCAACAATATGAAATTCCAGATGTATTTAAATGTTATATTACCTTCATGGTAAAAGATTATGTGGTCAGAAAATAGGCCACAAAGTGGGATAGCGCTAGGCTGAGCATTCAGTGTGAACCCAAAGTACTCTACATAAACTAGTAATAAAAGTGACCTGAAAGGGAGGAGGAAGTGGGACTCGAGTTCTTTTTTTGGTTTTGAGATGTGAAAAAGAGAGTTTGAATGTTTGTTTTGCCCCAGAGAAGAGAGATTTTTCCTACTTGTTTTTTCTGAGAAATATCAGGAAAATCAAATCTTATGTTTGCTCGATGCAGACTTGGAGCTCTTTTGACCCTTGACCTTTCCCAGTCCTGAACAAGAGCTCTGTGTAGCTCGAAAGTTTGTGTCTTTCACCAACAAAAGTTGGTCCAATAAAAGATATTACTTTACCCATCTTGTCTCTCCCTTACTAAAAGAGGCAGTCATGTTTAATCTTTCATAAAAGTATTTTCCGTTGCCTATTTCTAGGGAGCCTGAGTTAAACAGGTGTTAAAAAAACAAAATATAAAGTATGAAATTACAACTCTACCCTGATATAACGCTGTCCTCGGGAGCCAAAAAAATCTTACTGCGTTATAGGTGAAACCGCGTTATACTGAACTTGCTTTCCTCCACCGGAGCGCTGCTTTACCATGTTATATCCTAATTCGTGTTATATCGGGGTAGAGGTGTATCTGAATAATAACTTCCCCTCTTCATTAATCAGGTTTTACTTCATTGGTCTTGATGTCGTAATCCTATTAGTTCTTCAGTCTTCTATGAACCCTACAATCTTCCATTAAAAAAAAAAAAGAGAGAGTTGAAGAGCTGTGGATTTCTAATATAAAATGAAATGGGGGGGGGGGGAATCCACAAAACTTTCTTGAAAAAACCCACCAAAACTTTCATTATATAATACATCATAAAGAGGAAAAAGTGCAAAACCCCATTTTTCTCTTTGCAGGTCACTTCTAATGTATTTGTATGAACACTAAGCACCATGCTGACGGGAATATATGTATGTATCCTTGGATACATGTATGCATAGACCAATTTTACAATACATATACAGAAAATGTGGTGGTTATGCTCTTAAAAGTATCCAAAACTGTTAAAGGAATGTAAAATATAAATGACAGATTTAAAATCTGAGTAGCCCCAACTTGCAAAAGACTACTTTCATTATTGGATGGAAGGAATGTAAATTATTTTATTATTATTATTAATAAAGAATTTTGTGACTGACAACTATTACCTGTTGTCAGCAAGCCACAGAATCGGCACCTGCTGTACAAACCCAAGAGGAAGAACTGGTGGAATCCCTGAGAACAGAGTTCCATGAAACAGCCTGCAAAATACAGAGTCTGCAAGCAGAGACTGAATCTTTAAGAACTCTGGTAAGTAGCTATCGATTTAGAACTGGTGTCTACTCACTGGAATATACTCAAAATTCAGTATGCTTTTCTAGGGCATATTCTCATCTTGATGCGCCTGGTGAGAATAAATCCCTATACGCCCGCACTCCCATTGATTAAACTGGTGTTGTGGGTGCCCAGCACTTATAAAAATCAGGCTCTGAAATTTTATCCCTCAACACTTGTTAACATTTGTAAACCTCAATGAGATTACTGGGTACATAGTGTTATAGAGCACAACATATTATTAAGCAATTTTTAGTGCCTTGTAACCAGATAAACCAACGGTTTGCGAACTTTTTGAGCTGAGCACCCCCTTTGAGTTATAATTTTGGTTGTACCCCCACAACTCAGACAAAAATAGATAAATGAAAAAGTATGCTTGATAGCCTTCTAATAAACCTAACAAAGGCCTTAACACAACTTGAAGTAAATTACCTACACCTGTAAGCTTGAAATACACAGATACTTAGCAATGGCACAGCCAAGGCTTCCTCAGAAGCAAGCTGCTTCTACTTTGCAGCCAGGCAGTGCTGCTAGGGCAGGGCCAATACCTGCCCCTCTGCCCCTCCCCTCTTGGGTTTTCAGGGTGTGGGGGGAAGAGCCTGAGAAGGTCTCCGGGAGTGGAGCCAGGGCTGGGCATGGAGGCTGCCACAAGCAGAAATCTGCACAGCCTCAGCGGATGTTGAACCTGACCCACAGGCTGGGTGGCCCACTGAGGTGGGTTGGGGGTGGAGCTAATGCTCCCTCCCCACCCCCATGGGGGCTGGTCCAGGCTCCGCTGTGGGGGGCTGGCACAAGCCACCTGGCGTCACCACTTGCCCTCCCACAAAGTTCCTCCATGCTCCTGTAGGGGGGGACAAGCCCCACAGTTTGAAAAACTCTGAGATAGCCTCAGACAAAACAGTTCATCAGTCCACATTGCACAGATACAATACAAATATCTAATGAACAGAACGCCCAGTATATTGGGGTCTCCATTTCAGCAGATTCAAATGCAAAGGGTTAGGGCGGTTTCAAATTTCCCACACAAACCATTCACCGAGGTCTAGCTGAAACACTACTACAAAGATTATCTGAAGTTATGACTCTGTTCTGAGTGTTATAATTAATGTTTCATGTAGAAAAGGGGTCTGGAGAACTCATTGTATGATGCTAAGCACTGGCATGACATTGAACTTCAGAACCTAGGCTCTGTCATTACCAAGCTAGAGGCAGAGGTGCGAGAAATCAGAGCAGAAACTGAGCAGCAGCAGAGGGATCGTGAAACTCTGCTGTCCAACAAAATACAGCTGGAGAAGGATATCGCTGCATATCACTGTCTTCTGGATGCAGAAGAAAGAAGGTATTTCTTTTTAAAATGGAGAGTATGTCATGAACACAGAACTTGTGAATAACATGAATAATAACCTTGTGCACTGTGGGTACGCGCTGAGATCCCCAGAGACAACAGAACTGGCATGGTCCACTGAGAAGTGTGCATAGGTAGCTAGATTTGAAGAAGCTGTACAGGGGATGTACACCTCAAATCCAACTCTGCATAGGTTCCTAGTGCTTTGCATTAGGTGCCAGTAGTGAGAGAGCAGGGCAGGGGAGGAGTAGACCAGGGCCAGTGGATCAAAGAGCCTTCATTTCCCAAAGCACTGAGACGTAAGAGATAAAGAAACTGTGACAGCCTCAAAGCTACACTAACTGCTGTAAAGCAGCTGTGAAGCTGCTTCATATGTTGGGAACATGATTCCCTTCCTTAGACTCCCCTCCCACCCAGTATAAAGACCAGCCACTCAGGCTGGGCTCTTGGGGAAGGCCTCATCCTCTCTACAGAACAGAAAACATGAGTTAGGCCATGATCCAGTAAAATACTTGAACACATTTACTTTTAAGCATGAGTAGTCTCATTGAAGTCAACAGGATTATTCACATGCTTAAAGGTCAGCACCTGCTTACATACTTTGCTAGACAGTGGCATGGCTACAATAGTGAAAGTGGTGCAGTCACTCCAGGGCCAACGACGCTATGGGGGCCTAAACAGACAGAGTAGCGTTACAGCACTTCATTTGGTACACAGAGTCTCAACACCACTCACTCAAATTAGGCCGTCAGATGGAGGGACAGTCAGGCCAAATTTGAGTGGCATTACAACAGGGCATGCAGGGTTGCAGTGCTGTTCAGATTTGGCCCAACTGCCCCTCTGTCACGACAGGGGATAGCCGGGCCACATTTAGTGGCCTTGCAACTTGGTACACGGGATTGCAGGCAACACCACTCAGATCTGATCCAGCCACACCTCCATCATGACAGAGGGGCAGTTGGGGCAAACCAGATCAGCACTGCAACTCCAGTGTGCACTCTCACAATGCCACTCTTCACTCAGATTTGGCCTGTGTTGTGTGCATGTGGGGTGGGCGATAAGAGTGAGCAGAACCACTGGGACTGGGAGGAGCCACCCTAGTCCAAGAGAGGAACACAGCACTGAGCCACGGCTGTGTCAATGAGTGGCCAGGAAAGTCCCAGAGGCGGTGGATGACAGGGCGAGTTGTTGGTGAGCTATGGGGTGAGGTGGGGAGTGTTGGCGGGGGGCACCAGGATGAGGGGTTGGGGACAAGTGGAGGATGGTGGGGTGAACTGTAGGGGGATTGGGTGATGTTGGAGAGTGGTGGGCTATGTTGGGAGCTATGGCCCAGAGTCTGGAAGGGGCCCCCTACCCTTGTCTTGCACCAGGGTGATCTGGGTTAGTGATTAATGTTTAAACTATGTTCTAATATTTATCAAGGGTAACATTTGTTTCTTTAAGTTGATTGTTTCTTGCTTTACTATCAAATATACCATATTTTCCATCACTGAAGAAAATACTGTATCAAATTCTGGTTCAGAATACATGGACTATATTCTGCTCTCAACTGAGGAGTAACTGAGCGCCCCTGCAATTCAGCAAAAGTACTTAAGCATATGCTTAGTTATAAGTGTGTGCTTAAGTGCATTGCTGAACAGAAACAAGCTTAAACGCTTTGTTGAATTGTGGGGGTCTAAGCTGAATTTGGCCCATTATCTATATCTTTTGTGGACAAAAATAATCCACTCTTTTTCTTTGAACAATTTTCCTCTGGAGAAAAAATTCTAAATTCATTTCAAGTGTTTTTGCGTTTGCTTCTGGGAGATCTCTAATCATCAGAATTAGCCACAGAGCCTACAAGAACTCATGTCCTCCCCCCTCACATTCCAAATCAAAGTTTTCTGTCAACAGGCCCTCATTAAAATGGTTTGCTTTTCAGACAGCATAATCTCCTGCCTAATAGAAAATACTTTGGTGCTAGTCAGGTCTTGATCCTCCATATATAGAAGACCCAATTTCACAACTGTAATTGGCTTCTGAGTGGGCTGTAAGATAGCAACAAGGTGAGCAAATGCACCTTGTGAAAATGCTGAAGAAAGTAAAAGTAAAAAAAATTAAATTTCTGCTGATTTTCATTCCAAGTTTTGTGGGAAAGTGTTGAAACATACATTGAAATTTCCAGTTTACACTAATCATCAGAATGCCCAGTATCAGCTATTGCACAGAACCTACCTACTGTCTTATGAACAATATAATGGAGCAAACTGATCATGATAAACACAGGTACTGCAATTCTGTTCTAAGCTCTTTCAAACAAATGCAGTGGGATTGTACATTCAAACAGCTAACTACGTCCATAGCTCTGCAGGATGCTTGTAATGATCTTCCAACTAAAACAACTGATTCCCTCCTGTTTTCTTTTTAGAGTTGCAAAACTTTCTATTGCAGCCTAGTGGTGTAATTCCCATGTTTCTTTGAGGTAAAATTCACCTATGTGCAGAGAGCCAGAAAAAGACCTGTACACTTCTGACATGCCATTTCGGTACTTAGAGAAAGGGGACTTAAGTAGTCTACAGACCTTATTCTGGCCCTCTGTATAGAGGAGAATTTCACTTATGTGAGGGGAGATATGTGGGAGTGAAGACAGAGAAAGAGGCCTGAGCCACAAAGTTTGGATGGAGAATTAAATTTCAGTAAAGTTACATGTGTGTTGGGCATGAATTTTGGTCCATGTTGATCTCTAATAAATACACATACTACCTTTCCTGATGAATGTATAGCAATGGTAGAATTTTAATAACGATCAAAATGTTATCAAAGAGCAGGAATAAAGTTACTGGGTGAAATTCATTACCATGCACTGAAGTGATGCACAAACTTTAAGAAGGTCCTCTGTGAAGGGCTAAATTTCACTCATTGTGAGGTAAATTAATAGACTAAGCGAAACTGTGTTGTCAGTTACTGAAGGTATAATCCTACTGAAGCCAATGGCATTTCACCAGTGGATGTGAAAGTAGAATTTGGTCCAACAATTTCCCCTTTCCTCCTATTACTTGCTCTAACCAGCAAAAATAATAATTATTCTTTTTTTTTAAACTTTCAGTTGATTTTGAAATTCCCTGTCCACAGAAGACAATGTTGGAATTCAAAGCAAAAGATGATGTCACTGACAAAAATGTTTGTAGAAACCACAAACCCATCAAAGCAGCCTGCTTTATTCAGTTTGATTTAACAATCTAAGTAGGTTGTAGCTTGAGCAACTTTATTAGAGTCTCTTCCTCATGTGTATGCTTTGCTGACAGATGTCAAGTTAGCCATGGTGTTAAAATTATAATAATAAAAGTAAATAATTCATTGCAATTGTTTGATTTTTTTTAAATCATTCTCCAATACTTTTCAGTGCTGCTGAAAGGTACTAGATTAACAGCAAAGGTCCTCTTTTTATTCACAAAGTTTATTCATCTCTTTTTGCAATACAAATACTTTACTATTAGACTATTCTCCCACTATGCAAATTGTACAAAATGTATTTTTACTGCAATGAATGGAAACTGCAGGTTTCCATGTTGCTTCACAAGAACTTGGACTCATTAGTGTGAAATTTAATTTGCACTAATAAACCTGAGGTTGATAAAGCATGAAATTAACTTGATGCAATTAGTTTTACAGTAGGTAAAACTTGGGCAGCAGAAATACAAGCTTCCCTACATCGCCCTGAAAACATACCTTAGTTCTCTTCCAGAAGAAACTTCACCTAAGACAAAACAGGGTAACTAATTTTCCATGCGCCTTCAATTTTTGGCCTTTCTGCTGAGCTTGCTAACATGAGTGGTAATTAGTGCAAGCATAGTGGTACATTTTGTAATATGACCACCTTGCAGCAATTGGGGCTAGATCACTAACTTTTCTCATATGCCACTAGTCACCCATCAATTGCATGGACTGACCTGGAGCATATTTGAACTGGCGCTTGTGACAAAGCAATCTGCATACTATTGCCAATCACCTCTACTATTTAGTCTTCCTTTTTATATTTTAATATTCTCATTTTATTGTATTTGTAATATTGTTATATACTCTGTAAAATGTTCAAGCAGTTACTATTTAATCAGAGAAATATAAAAGTTTGGCCTCACTCCTGCAAACCCTTATGCATATGATGAACTTTTATTTGTGAGAGTAATCCCTTCATATAAGTAAAGCTAAACACATATGTTTTTGCTGGATCAGGGCTTTACAATATAAACAACTAGATAAGAAATAAATGCTTGGCACATATCTGCTTCGGGATATTTTGATATACATCATTACATGAAATCAAAGGTTGCTAAGACATTTAAAGAGTCACAATCTGAAGACGTTTTTCTTTTTTTAATTAAAAAAAACAAAGCTACAAAGACCCTTAAATGGATGAGAAAAACAAACTAACTCCAGATTTATTATACTTCATCAGCAGTGATGCCAGCCTTAATACCCTGTTAATGTGTTTCTCTCAACACTATCTTAACCTTTCCTCTATACCAACCCCCTAGGCATACAACATCCTTCCTGAGATAGTCCATAAAACAACCTCTCCTCATTTAATCTCTCATTAGGACCCTGTCAGGGTTCCTTCCCCACTCTGAACTCTGGAGTACAGATGTGGGGACCCGCATGCAAGACCCCCTAAGCTTATTTTTACCAGCTTAGGTTAAAAACTTTCCCAAGGCACAAATTCCACCTTGTCCTTGAACAGTATGCTGCCACCACCAAGTGAGTTGGACAAAGTATCAGGGAAAGGACCACTTGGAGTTCCTGTTCCCCCAAAATATCCCCCCAAGCCCTTACAACCCCTTTCCTGGGGAGGCTTGAGAATAATATCCTAACCAATTGGTTACAAAGTGAACACAGACCCAAACCCCTGGATCTTTGGACACTAAAATAAAAAATAAATTAAAAAAAAATCAGTTCTTAAAAGAAGAATTTTATTTAAAAAAAAAAAAAGAAAAGGTAAAAATCCCCTCTGTAAAATCAGGTTGGAAGATACCTTTACAGGGTAACAAAAGATGCACAAAACACAGAGGAACCCCCTCTAGCCTTAGTTTCAAAGTTACAACAAAACAGGGACAAACCTCCCTCCAGCAAAGGGAAAATTCACAAGTTGAGAAAACAAACTAATACGCCTTGCCTGGCTGTACTTACAATTTCTGTAATATGAGAGACTGGTTCAGAATGGTTTGGAGGACATGAATTGATGTCCAGTCCCTCTTAGTCCCAAGAGCGAACAAACACAGAAACAAAAAACCCAAAACAAAGCCTCTCCCCGCCCC